TTATGGGATAGAATTAAATTTTGGGCATCTCTTTGGGCTTTGGTTTCGGGGCAGTTCAAGGATTATCACTACTCTATCATCATGAGAGACATGATGGCAGTCTTAAGATGATTTTACTTAAGTTTGTGTTTTTTGTGTTTTTTTAATTACAGAATTATTTTCAGTCTTAGTAGGTCAGACACTCTTTATTTTAGGTTTTGTTGTTTGATCGAGGATTTTTTCCTCTTGATTATCAATACAATGTTTCTATTAAAAAAATAATAATAATAAACAAGGAGAAGCACCTTGCCGATATCACTCAGCTCACCCCAAAATCTAAAAACAAATTCGCTCATAAACTTGAAGCTACCATGCAATGCATGAACAAGTGATCAGCACTTTGTGCCTGCATCTTGCACATGGTGCACCAATGACACGAAAACTACAATATGGTCTACTTCTTTGTAGCAGATTAAAACAACTCATCTTGTAATGCCCTGCAAGCCAACTGAAGGCCTTAAACTTAGGAGGAACCTTTGCTTTCCAAATTGTACTAGCTGGCCAAAGTTCTGATAAAAAATCTGAAAAGAGATTTCAGAGAAAGCTCCAGATGATTCCAGCCTGCATCTTCTCATATCAGGCGTGCCATCAATCAGTCCAACTCAATTTTTTTCTTTCTAAAGGATAAATGAGATCTTAGTAGTAAATGGAAAGGTCACAAGGTTACAGAGGACAAGGTGTCATCTGACAACCAAAACTAACAAGCTACCAACCAAACCATAAACATTCAATGCAATAGCAGTCCACCCTTCTTGATGTTTAACTATTTTTGAGAAAAAATATTGCGTAATGCTTTTGGAGTACACTGAAGATCTTTTATTTTTTGTCTTCTTATTTCTCCCTTCTATTGCAATTTTGATAGGTATTTGAAGCAGGCTCTCTTATGTTTAGGACTAAATGCGATATGGGGTCTAATCCATCAGATAATGAACAAGCATATGCTCTGAATAACTTATTAACTTCCGTTTCTGAGTGTAAAGTTCCTCTAAGCTTCCAACTTCAAGATCTATACGATCACTTTCAGGTCAAGTTAAATGATTTCGAGGTTAGTTTCTAGTCAGATACTCTGAACTCCTATCTATTCTTTCAGAATTTTTGAGGATCAAATTAGTGATAATAATGTTATTGTGCAGATGAAGATAACTATGCCTTCTCATACTTTTCCGATCTCTATCTTGGAGAAACTCAGTGCTTCTATCTCCTTGGCACGTTGCTTGATCCAAGATGAATCTGTATTGAAACAGTTGGAGGCATGTTTACTAGTAAAAGAATTTTTTTTTAATAAAAGATCATGCTTACCCTGTCTTGGTTATATCTTAGCTGAATACCATTCTACTTCCATCTCTTTTAATTGTTGAAAACCTTATTATGGTCTTTTGCATTGTACTTTGTGGTTTACGAGTTTGAGCTGATGCTTTATTTGCACATTGCATTTTCTTTTTCTTTTTCTTTTTAATCATCGTCCACATCTCTGGATGGCGCATCCTATTAGGAAAGCACATAGTACATGCTAGGCTGAATTTCTGACCATGCCTGCCTGAACTAAAGTTAGACCAATCTAGTTAATTTGAAGTAGAATGACTCACTGATCCAGGGAAGAAGAAGCTTATACAAGAAAAGAAAAGTTCAAAATGTTAATCTATATAGAACAATGGTTTGATTTATGGTTACGTAATGGCATAACATGCAGGCTAGTAAAGTACTATGTGCTGTTGTAATTTATGTTTGTATTTTGAAGCTGTTGTTTTAGTTTTGCTTAAGTTTTCTCAACACTTTAAAATTCAGGGGTGATCTGGAAAATTCAAAATACGCCAGATGCAGTGTACAGGTCCTGCTTATGTATCATACTGTAGCCTTCTACTCTTTGTAGTGCTACCAGTCTTACTGATATTGCAATTGTATTGCTTCAATTGATCGTTTTAATAGTATTAAAATTGACAACGTGAAACAAACAAAATGAAGCAGATATTAAAGTACTGTTTTATCATTGTTTACTACATAAAAATGCCTTAATTGCCCACTTACCAGCTATGCATACATGTGTAGGAGTTTGCATATGCATATGTAACCATGTCCTTGGTGTTAGAATATAAAATAACTGTGGGCTCACATTCTAACAATTTAAGCTTTTAGGAGTAGTGTAAACCAACAAACTTATCATGGTGTTAGAGAAGGAGATCCTAAGTTTGAATCCCTGTATTTTCATCCCCTAATGTAAGTTAAATTCCACATTGGGCTCTCTACTGGTGGGAAGAGGTCCACATGTGAGTGAGTGGGACTGTGGGAGTGATTGAATATGAAATAATCGTTGGTTCATATCCTAATAGTTTCAACTTTTGAAAACATTGGTGAACCAACAAAATTTATCAATTGGTAGACTGCTTAGCATCACGAAACTGCTTTTAAATTTTTATTCTTGCTAGTTTAAGCGATAGTTTGGTTGTTCTCAGTTGGTTTGTTGTTTGAAAGGATTCTCAGTTTTTCTTTTAATTTCAGGTTTATATCAATGTGTCATCACTTAATGCTCATTTCTCCCCATCCATATATGCTGCAATTCTGGGATTAATTGCTTACCTAGTTGCTCTGCAATCGAGCTCTGAATCTGTATCCTTGGAAACTATTGATTCATTTAATGTCTCATCAAAGGGATCGAGGAGTCCTGTTTTCGGTTTCTCTACCAATGTCAAACTGGGGACAGTTAGCTGTCGTGTAGAACTTGAAAATGAGAAAGAAAACAGTTCATACATTATGCAATGGAAATTTGGGAGTGCCTCGTAAACAAAATGAGAGACAGGCACTTCTAATGTTCAAGAAAGATCTCAAGGATCCTTCAAATAGGCTTTTATCTTGGGTTGGTGAGGGAGATTATTGCAATTGGACTGGAGTTGTCTGTGGCAATTTGACCGGTCATGTCCGTGAGCTGCACCTTGGAAATTATTATTCAGATGCGTATCTGAATTACAGTTTGTATCAAGAAAACTCTTTGGGTGGCAAGGTAAATACTTCTCTACTAAATTTAAAGCATCTGAGCTACATGGATCTAAGCAACAATGATTTTGGAGGAATGCAGATTCCTAGCTGCTTAGGTTCTCTTAAAAGTTTAAGATATCTTAACCTCTCATACTCAAAAGTTCGCTGGAATAATTCCGCATCAATTGGGAAATCTCTCAAGTCTACACTCTCTAGGACTCCAGGGTAAAAGCTACTACTGGATGAAGGTTGAGAATCTCCAATGGCTTTCTGGTCTTTCGAGCTTGCAGAAC